TCCCATATATGAAATGGAAAATAAAACATGTTTAAAACCACCAACCAGCTATGTTTGGATGGTTAAACTATGTTAAACTCTGGAATGGAATGATAAATCATAATCAACAGTCATCAAACCATGATAGACTGCTTAATGCAAATACCCTATGGTAATTTGACATAGCTATGGAAAATCACCACTTTTAATGGGAAAATCCACTATAAATGACCATTTTCAATAGCTATGTTAGTTTACCAGAGGGTAGACTGCTTAATGCAAATAAATGATCACAGTGGAGGACATCCAAATGACAATTCCCATCATCACCAACTGGACATCACTGGACACCCTGCCGCAGTGTACACGATGCCAGCACCAAAGGGGAGACCTCGTTTCACAAGCAAATGTCAACTGGTCAACCTACTATTTATAGCCATTCAAAATATACCTCTGTGGGGATTTAACATGATTTATCAATGATTTATACATGGATAGTTAAGATATATAAGATATAGTCAATGGAATATATATATAATAGATGATTATCCATCATCATCCATTAAGCTACATTGATTTAACCATCATTTATAGATATTTCTTTCAGTGATCATTGCCATGGGTCAACCTGCTTGATTGATTGAAAGGTTTTGTTGTCCAAGCAGTGGTTTGCCCCAATGATTACGGCTTTTCAATGTGAAAAACATCGGGGTGTAGTTGATGAATAATCGTTGCTTGTCGTTGGTTGATGATAAAAAAGGAGTTCTGCAATGTTCTACGAAGTGGTTTCTCCAAATCCGAGTTGTAATCCATAGTCGGGATAGCTACTGACCAACCAGCTTTTCATGCGAGGGATGGGCTTGTTTTTCATGGCTCACTTGGACGTGAAGTACATCCTGATTCAACACTGGGGAGAATTTCTCTGGCTGAATTATAGTGATTCACCAATCTGAAATAAGGAGATTTTGGGATGATTCCCCATACTACAAGGTGGTGCCCCAGTTCGTTAGCTAAGTTGGTTTATAAGTCCAATAACTAGGGTTTATGGGGGTTAATTATATCTATAGTTAATGGGGATTATAAACCAACTTATAACTATGGGGGCACCACCTTGTAAGCATATTATATGGTGAGGCGGCGGTGACGTCGTCATGATTCAGACAGATTGTTGATAATTGAAAATAATATAAAATAATCCCTTCACCCTAATACGAAACCATGAAACCTTCCCCTAAATAATAAAACCGATGGGCATATATAGTAATAGGAAGAAGGGATTAATGAATCCCAAAGCAGACTTCAACCATTTATGACCATTTTTCAGCGATTCCCCTTCCAAGCTTCTATTTACTGTAACCATCATGAATGTTCATGGTGAGATATGTTCCAATCTATGGGGGTACCCGGTACAAATCATCCATTTATAGAGGGATTGTCCATTACAAGCCATCCAGCTATTGGGGTACCCCCGATGGAAACTGCCAAATGGTCACCAGCTGGGATGCGGACATTCATTGCGAAGGTAGGCTTCAATGGTTTCACTCCAGCCGAGGGTCCTGAGCGTCACGCTGAGCGTCGAGCGTCGAGGTGCCATAAATCCCGTCCTTCACCAACTTAGCGATTTCGCTCACTGGGGCACCAAAATCATCCAAGCTCCATATTCTTCAGTGAAAAAAATCATGTTAAATCCTTATCTGGTTGGTGGTGCAATAACCATCTTGAAAAATATGAGTGAAAGTCAATGGGAAGGATGACATCCCATGGGAAGGATGACATCCCATATGTGAATTGGAAATTGTCATCATGTTTGAAACCACCAACCAGCTATGTTTGGATGGAAAAAACATGGTTAAACTACCCTCCAGTAAATTAACAGTTCGACCCTGCCAGCCATCGGGGTTGGAAGATTAGTTTCCATTAAAAATTGCTTATTTTCAGGGTCTATGTCTATGTTAATTTACAAGAGGGTACCACTTTTAAGACATCGTTTCACAGGACCCTTCGATGTGGACCCAGCAACCCGATCGGTGCTTCACGACCCGGAAATTAAGGTGGAGAGGTTTTGAGGTTTTTTTCGGTGGGGACCTAGAAATTCTAACGGTTACATGCTGGTTTCTGTTTTTTTTTAATATACCAATTACCTTTTGGTAAGTTAACATGGCTAATTATGGAAAAAAAAACATATCAAAATGGGATTTATAATCGAACAAAATGGGCCATGTTCAATCATGTTCATCCATTTTCGCCATCTTTGATTGCCAGGATATCCACTTGAGCAGTGTTCAAAACCCTCTGTCTTCCCTCTATACAGCCTAGTTAATATATGCATGTCGATAATGAATTATATAATAATCCCCAAATATCGTGGATAGATGTGGATAGTATACTCTGTACAATCATATGGAGGTTTCCAATCCATGGGGGTACCCCCGAATCATCCATTTTAATAGGCTTTCCATTATCAACCATCCATTTTGGGGCATGCCTATTTATGGAAACCCCCATATTAATAGTCCAATAAAATCATCTACTGACTGGAGTTTTGAATTCAGCGAAGACTTCACGAACTGGGATGCAACATGCGTTGAACGCTCCGTTTTTTCTGCCGCTGCACCTTACGCGGCGCAAAAAATCCACGCGGCGAGATTCGCCGGCCGCCCGACCTTTGCCGGTGGCGCGTGGCGGCGGCTGTTAGAGCGCTGTTTTGTCACCTGGCGGGCACTGCGATGCAGAAAATCATCAGAGATAACATGATATAACTAGGTAACAGTTATCTGAAATGAAATCAGAAAATCATTATATGGGGATGGGTCAAAACCCTATCCCCCTGGTGAACATCAAAATAGGTGGCAAATGGATGTTCATCCCCTAATAAACTGTATCTATAGGTATTGATCCATACCCATATAAATCTGATATAACTATATAGGTTTGTCTGAACCAAATTATGGCCAAAATAATTTAGGAAAATGTCTATGAACCAGTGGAATTTGGGTATACCCCATTTTCAGATACAACTTGAGTAACCCCCCAAAAAAATAGAAAACAGTCATTGATCCATACTGGGAGTTGACTCAGTTGACTTTTCTGAATCTTAACATGGTTCACTTCAGTGAATTCAGTGGTGGAAGTAGAGGCAAGTGTAGCTGGGGCTTGATCCACTTTCTAAGTGAGGTGAACTGGGGTTAACCAACGAAGTAGAAATGTCTTGCTCTTCCGAAGCAATTTCATTCAATTTCATCCAATCCTCACATCCACATCATGTAGCTGCTAAATGTTGATGTCATGCTAAGCTCAACGTGCCCCTCCAGAAAGTATGTATTTTTTTCCTAGCCTCCAGTCATCAAAATAGCAATTGAAAAATCATTTTTTAGGTTGATTGTCCTGTTAGAACAGCCACGTTTTCATTCAGTGTCCATCTGTTAGAGTACTGGAGACAAACCACCGATTCAATGAATTCTATGTCTATAGATGATCTATTGAACGATTAAACAAGCATGTTGATTTTGCAGCAAGGTTGGATTACAGAAGAGTATGTACATATTATATATTTACCCTCTGGTTATTTAACATAGCCATGGAAAATCACCATGCTATTAAGTTCGCTAAACCATTTATTTCTATGGACCATCTATACCATGGCTATGTTAAATAACCAGAGGGTATATATTCTATGTTGAACTGGTGTGTGGTTTCAACCCCTCCTTTAAAAAAAAAGCAGTTGGGGATCATCGTTCCAATCAGGAAAACCACGAATGAGTCGGGTCCAATCAGGCATCTCCCACAAGTCTGAGGCAGAATTCGTCGAGAGATACCCAGCCGAATTCATAGAAAAAAACATAGGAAAAGGGAAACCAGGAAGCCTCATAATTCAACCACATCAACACTTAACACTTCAGTAATTTCCTAATGTAAACATGGTGTGGCTCACAGGAACTTCAGCTGTAGAAACCCAAAAAAATGCTCGTTCCTAATCTTAGATACCCTGCAAAAGAATAGTTGCTTATTTATATAGTGCCCCAAATTTATGGCACAAGATTGAAGCTGATTGAGGTATCAAAGAACCCGTCCAAGGTTTCCCGTGTGAGCCATCTATACTGATACTGGTTGGTTAATAGTTATCCCTATTGTGGGCAGTACTTCCCAATAAACCAGGTATTATAAGCCCCAATAAATTACTTGTCCTGTAAACTAACATAGATGTAGAAAACCAATGGTTTCCCCAGGAAAATAGTTAATGGTTGATTTTTCCTTTTTTTCATTACAGTTAAAGCCATTTAATGTCAAGTTAGGATTAATAATCCCAGCGGTATTAATCAGCCCCCTCTGCCCCCCCCCAAAAAAATGTAATTTAAAAAAAGGTGGTCCCCCAGAACTAATAAACCGTTTGGCTGGGACATGATTAATCAACACCCTGTGCTGAAATCCATTTTTTTATCCAACAATGTTTATTTCCAATTCTATTTATTTCCAATTGTTTTTTACCTTTTTTTATCATCATTGTTATACTTAAGGTTTAAGTTGATCATTGAAAATTTCAAAAAACAACTATTCCCCAAATGATCGATTTCTAATTAAAATCTTTATAAAAATCATCAGTTTGGATAGCTCCCAAAGGGTACCCCCCATGAGCCCATGTCCCCCATTAATAATAACCACGGTTTGCCCCTGATTAATCAACCACCTTTCTGATCCATGAGATTTTAACAAATCCAATGGAATTCTATGATGATCTAATTGACTCAAGCCATATCCAAATTTTTATGGTTCAGAGTGCTTATTATTAAGGGGGGGTCAAGAAAATGACCTGCAAGGTAGAGTTCTGACCTTCTGGGTGACCATGGGTCACCTACTGACTTGTAAAATTCGGGCCATGACCGTAGGGTGTAACCTCTGGTAAACTAACATAACTATGGAAAATCACCATGTTCAATGGGTAAACCCACTATAAATGGCCATTTTAAATAGCAATGTAACAAATTACCAGAGGGTACCAATCAACTTTCTGCTCCCATCACACCTTAGAGCGCCAGCGCTAGAAGACGTGCTGCACCGTGCCTCTCCTCCGCCTACCACCATCGATGAGCGATGGGTCAACGGAATGCGAGGCGAAGAGTTGGGATTGTCATGATGACACCACGATTTGAATGGTTTCAAAAGCACCAATGAAAGTTGGGAATTTCGGAACCCTCTAAAGTGGTTCAAAAATCAACAAAGACATGGGGGTTTGCCAACATCTTCGCCGCCTCAGCCTTCATCTTCGCCAGCTCAGCCCACAACGGTCGCAGCATGGGCAGCGAAGGTTGGCGCGAGAAACGTGGCGCGGCTTGCGAAGATGGGACCTGGCAGTGGGGCGTTGTCTCATAAGTGGTTCAACTAGAGTACAGTATATATATATATACTGTATATTAGATAACACTAACATACAACTTACAGTGCTAGATCAAGAAGACTGAAAAGTTTGTTGTGCATATAGATATAGATATATATATATATACATGTTATATACATATACATTTGATGACCATCCCCATGATGCGGGGCCCCAGTTCGCTAGATAACTTCGTTGAACTAAGTGGGTTAACTAGCGTGTTTGGTATCTGTAACTAGGGTTTATGTGTATATATATACTGTAAGTAATCTAATAAATCTACTAAGCCAGGAAGATCCGAGACTTTAATCACACCCATGACTATAGTCAAGTTTTGTTGTGATGTGCCTTAAACAAATATTGATGTGCTAAAATAAAATAATGACCATGAAGATGATATGTTTGTAGAAAAAGTCCGATGGGACAGCTGCTTCCAGTATATTAGATTAACTTATCCAGTTGGGCAACATGTATATATGTATATATATATACATACAGTATGTACATATATGACCAAAATTACAATAGATTAACTGGTGGTATTTTCTTCACATCCCAATAAATTGTGTTATTTCATGAAACTTTAACTAGTTGCTATGAGGAGCATGAAATTGATATAATTCATGTAACTTAATATGGTCACTCAGAAACATGTGTCGAGTCAATCCCCATGTCCAATCCATGGCCAACCTTAGATACCCTGCATTTGTTCTTGTTATTTGTTGCTATTGTTTGTTGATCTTATCTCGCAGGTTAGAAGGTAACAAAAACATGTCTTCTCCCCAAAGATCGACTCATCATTGCCGTACCCACCCCTGTGTTCGGCAAAAATCTTCACCAAGATTTCCCAATCACCAATCAGTCAATTCGTGTTTGAAATGATGAAGTTTTCACATCCTGATGAAGTTACTCCCCATTTTTTGAAGATCTGAAGATACAAAGACCATGCGAGCTGCATCCTTTCTGAATCCTTATGAAATCCCCGTTGCATTTCTCAACTATGAAATCATAGCCAAACCAGTTGCTTTCCATTGGATATCAAAGCTTACCCTCTGGTAAACTAACAGTTTGCTGTAGAAAATCACAATTTTTAGTGGGTAAATCAACTATAAATGGTCATTTTCAATAGCAAACTGTTAAATTACCAGAGGGTAAGTTGCACCATTTCGTAGCCATCCAACGTTTAAAAAAAAGAACACCACCAAAGATTTCAGGTGATCATATTTCTGGATAGCCTCTGGTAATTAATCATGGTTTGCTGTAAAATCAACCATTTAGCGCCATGATGTTCCCAGATGCCATGGAGTTGGGGAACTTTCCAGCGGCCATCAAACTGATTTTCCACCGGAGGAGATCTAATGGAATATGATAATGTGTTCTCATTCATATCCCAATTGGACATACCCCAGAAACATGGCTTTAAAATTATATAATATATATATATATGTATTGCTAATATTCCCAATCATATTAAATCACCATAAATCACAATTTGACCACCATTAATTCACCAGTAAAATAACCATGAATATCCAGTTAAAATCACCATTAAATCACCATTAATATCCATTAAATCAACATTAAAATCCATTAATTCACCATAAATCACCATTAATATCCATTAAATCAACATTAAAATCCATTAATTCACCATAAATCACCATTAATATCCATATATTCTCTGAGCTATGTGGATTTTGTCCCAACATATGTCCACCTTGACTTGGCCCTCGGAGCAACGAAGGAAGGTGTAAAATCGCGAGGCTTCCTGCGTCTGCACCAGGGAAACACACATATCATGATGGTACTTATGTACATATAATATAATATAATATAATATAATATAATATACCCTATGGATCCAAGTACCTTCTGAAAGGAAGTGGGACTGGGGTATAATTTACTATAATTTGGAGAGTTAGCCGTACCTTCTCAAACAGTGGCCATGGATCCATAGGGTATCTTATCTATCTAATATCTCATAATATACATCAATCCAAGAAAATTGATCACGTGATACAAAATATTACATCATATATTTATCTCTGGATATATATATATATATTATAGTGTGTGGCGGACATATATATATATATGTATCATAGTCTCATTGCTAGTTTTCTAGCACTCCATGTAACTCGCGGGATGATATCTCCAACAGACATCCAAGCGAAAACATATGAAAGATGAAGTATAAACCATCGTATAAACCATCACAAACCTTGATTTCTTGATGATAAGCTTATAGATATTTTTACCCTCTGGTGAACTAACATAACTATGGAAAATCACCATTTTTAATGGGAATATCAACTATAAATATATTTTTATATACCCTCTGGTTATGACTAACATAGCCATGGTATAGATGGCCCATAGAAATAGATGGTTTAGCTATAAAAAATGGCGATTTTCCATGGCTATGTTAAATAACCAGATGGTAATTTTATATGGAGGTTTCCTAAAATAACATGGGCATCCCCTTGCATCATCCATGTTGTCTTGGGATTTTCCATGAAAACATCCAGCGAGCGACCGGGGATCCCTATTGAAATAGGGAACCCCCATATATCGATCATAAATCACTGCGAGATGCCACCACTCTCACTCAAAAATGATCCTCGCAGGAAAACATCCCCGCAGTGTTGACTTTCCAAATTGACGTCCGCGACGTTTGACGTTTGACGTCCGCGGATGATACCCATGAATTCACTGCAGGATGGGTTCCCCCAGTGATGTGAACGTTGGTTTATAAACCATGAAATATATAATCCCATCTATAGTTATATCATGTTATATCTACCATAAACCATTGTTAAGCCACTTCCCCAGTTATAAGTTGGTTTATAAACCATGAAATAATCCCCATGAATACGAACATTCGTTATATCTACCATAAACCATCGTTGCTTCAGCCACTTTTCTTTGCACCAACTGAACGCGAGCCAACGTTTACGGGGGCCCCCGGGGCGCCATCCTGTGGGATGATGACATCAAATGACCATGGTGAAACTTCCCCAAAAATCAGGGCTGCTTTTAGAAAAAAACAGCCCAGATCTTGGGGAGCAAGCATTGCATCCCTTTCTTGGTTCCATTTTCTTATCAGCATGGTTGAAAAATGTTGAACATCCATCATTTTGCTCATCAAGAATTGTAGTGTTGTGGTAGACAGTGATGTCCATGTTGAAAGCCTGAAGTTTCCATATGGCTGTGACAAAACATGTCAAAACCCAGCCTTCTGTTCACCTCCAAAGAGTGGATGTGATTTCCCGATGCTATTTCAATGTATTTCATCGGTGTCGATCTTGTTGGTTGGCCTCTGGTAAACATACAAAAAACATTTGTTTCAAATCATCATGTACCCTCTGGCTATGGAAAATCACTATTTTTAATGGGTAAATCCACTATAGATGGCCATTTTCAATAGCTATGTAACAGTTTACCAGAGGGTAAAAAAGCTGGGTAAATCAACGAACTTTCGATGGCCATGGCATCCCCAGGCCCTGTCCTCCTGCAACCAACCCCTCTGAAGCAATAAGCCCAAGCCCTCCTGGTGAATGGTGCCAGCTTGAGTCCAACTGTGAGGAATTCTGAGGAATTCAGGGATAAGATGGAGAATGATTTTGTTGTTTCTTTTCATGGGGGATCATTTAGGATTAATGATTAATGGTATCTCATACCGACATAACCACCATTCAGAATGAGAATATCATGGTGATATATGTTTTTCTTGTTGCTTATCTGTGGGGTATTTGTTGAAGTTATCCCCACTTAGAATTTTTTATTTTGACCTATGGGATGAATCCCAGGATGAACCAGAGGGTATTTCTGTCGTTTCATCTACACATCCATGGCTTTCTGACGATCGGTGTTGAAGACGATCGGTGGATGTGATGTTTTTCATACTTTACGTGGATGTATAGCCATACTTTACGGATGCCGGGTTAGTGGATGCTGAAACACAACTGGGTCCATCAGCGTGTCTGAAGATGTGGTAAACCCAGTTCCTTTACTATAGGATAACTATATGTAACTAGATGATAACTCTGGGAAGGAACAACCATAGCTTTTACTTTACTATATGTAAAGCCAGTTGTACCCAGCTAGTAACCCTACACGTTCCATGAGGAATATTTAGCAACATGTTCCCTCAAAATGACCTAATCATTACAAATATACCAAACATGGAGCATATGATCGCAGCCATTCTATTTACCGATATTCCAACTGATGGAGGTAAACTCACCATGGATATCATCATCCGGGTGGTACCCTCCAGTTACAAGTTGGTGAAGAACCCTCACTATCTATCTATTTATCTATCTATCTATCTATCTATCTATATATATAATGTATATAACCCCCATAAACCCGAAGTTGTGAACGAACGTTGGTAACGAAAGGGGGCACCACCCTGACTTTTTTTCGCCAGTGCTTCCCCACTACGTATTATATATATATATATATATATCCCCATAATATACTTGTGTTTGTTGGTTAATCTTCTACTTGTTGGTTTGTCCCCTTGTAAAATCACATATTTGTTGATTTGTTGGTGAATCCCCAAAAAAAGCTATAAATTCCTTTAAAAAATCTTATAAAATCCTTAAACAATCCTTATAAAATCCTATCAAATCCTATGAAATCCTATCAAATCCTATGAAATCCTATAAAAATCCTATGAAATCCTTAAAAAATCCTGAAAAATCCTATAAAATCATCAGCTTCCTTTATGGCTTTCGAACTAACCATGGCATCCATGAGCCCATCAACCCCTCAACGCGTCCTTTGCCGACTCCAGGCTGAAGCACTCGCGGCGGCGCTTGGCGTAGGCACAGGTCCTCTGATTGTTGCTGGATAGGCTTTATACTAGATCTAATGTAAGTGGTTAATAGTAACAAGACCCTGGTGATCGTAAGTCACCATTCAGTGGGTTATCCCATTTATGAATGGGTTACCATATGTTACCATCTGGTTATGACTAACATAGCTATGGAAAATCCCAACCATAAATCTTCCATGGCTATGTTAAATAACCAGAGGGTAGATCTAATGCGGGTAAAACAATGCCATGTTTACCATCCCCCAGACAAATCAGCATTTTTATAGGTGGTATAGTATGTTTACCATTCCCAGTCATTTTTGTGGTTTATGGCATTGTTTTTCCCACATTCTGATCTATCACTGTTGGATTTGATCAATCTGGATAGATCTATATGATCAATGCAGATCTAGTTTTATCTGTCTCATAGATCAATCTGGATCTATGTAGATCTAGATCTATCTAGTTTTTTTGGGGGGTCATCCTAAAAGGTGTCGGGTAACCCATGGCAACCTCCAGAGACACCTGAAAAAAATCCCAAGTGGATGGGAAATCCCGGCACTAAATGGAGGTTCAGTTCGCTGGGAACATCATCTATAAAATGGTTAAACATTGATAAAATGGATACATCATCATCTGGTTGGTGGTTGACCTACCCCTCTGAAAAATATGACTTCCTCAGCTGGAATTACTATTCCCAATATATGGAAAAATAAAATTCATGTTCCAAACCATCAACCAGTCATTGAATCATGATACATCACCCATTTAAATGTCCCATCTCGACCATGTTTTCAAAAATCGACACACACCATTTTCTCGCTGGACATACGTATACAGGACAGCCAATGGGTGATATCAAACTTGAGATTTTCACCTCAGTCGGTCGATTCAAAGCCCCCTGTACGAAAAAGTGTTGCTTTTCATCAGCCTCACCTACCTTTTTTTCGTCACTTTTTCAATGGTAAACATCCAAAAAACTATGGAAAGATCCACCATTTTCTAGCTGGGTAAATCCACTATTTCTATGGCCATTTTCCACTTCGCTATGTCACAGTCATTACCAGAGGATATATGGAACCGGCAACGTGCAACATCCACTAGGAAAATCATCTGCGGCATCCCCTAGTCATCTCAGGTTGTAACATGATCTACCCTCCGGTCGTCGTCCGTGGCAATGCAGCCATGATTCAGTGGAACATCCCCTATGAATGTGACGGGTGCTTGGTGGTTTTTCGCCACCCCTCTGAAAAATATGAGTCAACTGGGATGATTGTTCCCAAGTGAATGGAAAAAAGTATAAAATCTTCCAGTCACCACCAAGCAGTATTCTATGATATTCCCATAAGCAGTGATAATCTTCACGGTTTCCCATGGTTTTCCTGGATTTTCCATGGTAAAACAACCACCGACCAGTCTACAAATGATGGATGTTCCAGCCATTTTTGATTGCCGGGGATAAATGATCCGAAGAGATATGGTGAGCGGGTACCCTCTGGTAATTTGTTACATAGCGAACTGGAAAATGACCATTTATAGTGGATTTTCCCATTAAAAATGGTGATTTTCCATGGCTATGTTAGTTTACCAGAGGGTAGATTGATGATATCCAAGACTTTTGGAATGGGATTGGTGACTCATTAAAACATCACCCCGATGTTACCTTTGTAAGCACCTTAAAATCCCCATGCTGTTTGTTTTTTCCATGGTTTCCACATTTTATATCCTCAATTATCCTCACTACTTGTTGGTGATAGAATCCTCCATCTATTTTTAACCAAACAACCCAACAAGGGAAGACGTGAAAACCTACGCTGAGCCAATCTTTCGACACAAGGATTGCAGCGCTGAACGGGGTTTCAGTCCTATCCAAGACTAAGGAGACCGTGGGCAACAAACCCTCCTCGGACGCGGCGTTAACGAATGGGTCTTTTAAGGACTCACTGGGACTGGAAATGGGGAGAGTGGGATGATGGTGAAGAGTTAGCCTCCGGTAATCTAACGTAACTATGGAAAATCACCATGCTATTAATGGGAAAACTCACTATTTCTATGGCCATTTTCCAGTTCGCTATGTAACAAATTGCCAGAGTTTTCAGTAGCTATTTTGACATAACCAGAGGGTACTTCGGATCATTCCCTCATTCCCTCATTCGGCGCAGGAAAACTGAGTAAAAAGGGAGGTCTCTGGCATCAAGCAGCCTGGCTGATTTGGCCAAAAACTATAGAAAAAATTGGGGGATGCACATCATACGGTGGATGGGTGGTTGCGAAATCCGTTCATCACCAGTTGAAAACGGTGGAAATATTATTATCCCATGATTTTTGATGGGTTTCTGAAGCCCATCCTTTTGGTGCAGGATTTCGCGTCTCCGATCCTCTTCGGACCAGTTCCCGATGTGCAGATAGCAACTTCATCATTTACCAATGGTTGGATAGTCCTGAATTCAGGTACCGATTTATTGGTGGTACCTAGATGTACCTAGTACCTATCATATATTAATAAGGCCTATGTCAGGGCTATGTAGGGGGATAGACACCCAATTTCTATGGCTTTATATGGTACTAACGTACCTCCATTTTAGGATCTTTTTTTATTCCCATTGATTCAGTCTATCATGCATTCTCCGCCTGGAAGTCAAGTACTCATTGCCAATTGTGGATGCAGCCTTTGTTTAGCTGATTGGTATGTGTATGTGTACCATGTGTAGCAAAGGATAAAAGTACTGAGTATATTTGTAATGATGAATTCCACACACATCCCGTTGGTTAAACCAAAACTCTTTGATGAATAAATCCTGTACAAGCTGGTGCCCACCCAGTGAAATGTTTGTTGGTTTGTGAACGAAATTGGTATAAGTATAGATAAATCATGATAAATCCCTACAACGTTAGCTTATGAACCCAATTAAGTACAGATGTATCTATGTGCCATAAATCTATATAAATCTCAATTAACCTACTATTTACAAACCAACATTGCGCCACCCAACTGGGGCACATTTGTTTGCATCCAGGCAAGGTGGGCCCAGCTCATTCCATTTAATCCTGGTTGGTTAAGACGGGCTGAAAAACAAAAGGGTTATATGGCAGTGTGTCAAAACCTTGTACCCCTGGTGAACATCAAATAGCTGGTAAATGGATGTTCATCCCACTAAAAATGGTATTAATAGGTATTGATCCATACCCATATGATAATCCCCAATATACAAAGGGAAGTCTAACCACCGAACCAAGGTTTTTCAACACTGCCCATCGGTTTTTCAACACTGCCCCTCCAACCAAGTGTACTGAAAAAATCACCATAAACCCGGGCTGAAATCCTCATCTCCGGTTGGTTAAGTCATCAACCTTGCCTCATTACCCTCTGGTAAACATACAAAAGACCATGGAAAATCACCATTTTTACATGTTTTTACTAGGTAAATCAACCATAAATGGCAATTTTCCAGTTCGCAACCTGTTAGTTTCCCAGAGGGTAACTACTACAAATCACATGCTCCCCAGCTGTTTGGCCCATGCCTCTACCAACGCCGTCACCGCTTGCATGGCCATTTCCGCGGCACGACAACGCAGAGCTAAGAGCACCTCGGCATGGCAAAGAGGCAACGCCTTGGGGGCGGCATCGCGGGCATCGTAAATGGTGAATGACCACAATGTCGGAAACCCAATAATGGATTTACCCTCTTTCTATTTAATATAGCCATGGGAAATGGCCCATTTATAGATGGTTTACCTATTAAAAATGGTGATTTTCCATGGCTATGTTAAATAACCAGATGGTACCATTTACGCATGGTTTATACCACCCATTTATCATTATCTTGGGGATGTAATTTATTGTTATGTCTACCACATCACATGGTAGGGTTGATGGGAAAATGATTGTTTTTTTTAAATGGGGATATGATTGTGATATCATGGGATATTGCAGTGTGTCAAAACCTTGTACCCCTGGTGAACATCAAAATAGCTGGTAAATGGATGTTCATCCCCCTAAAAATGGTATTAATAGGTATTGATCCATAGCCATATCATGAGATATCTCAAGCAACACTTTGGGGGATCTCCCATGTCGCTGCTTTGGATCGCCCGTACTTTACTTCACCCAAAATTCATGGGGGAATCCACGATCGGAAACTCAGAATGGATGATGTTCATCCCAGGCATCACAACATGGTGATTTAATGGTGATTTAATGGTGATTTTCCATGGGATGTAATGAGAATTTACCCTCTGGTTATGACTGTTAAACATTTCGCCATGGTTTTTCGATGGCCCTAATCGAAATAGATGGTTTACCGTTCTTAATAGCATGGTGGATCTTTCCATGGCTATGTTAAATATGACCAGATGGTAACTCATATGTACACAGAGGGATTCTCCAATAAGTGGATTACCCTCTGGTAAACATACAAAAAGCTATGGAAAATCACCGTTTTTACTAGGTAAATAAACCATAAATTGCAACTTTCCATAGCAACCTATTAGTTTCCCAGAGGGTATGATACGTAGGTTTATTATCCACTAACTAACTAGGATGCACATCCAAGTTGCCTATTAAGTCATGATCATTCTAGAGTTAAAGCTGCAATTCTATAGCTAACCAGTTTTCATCTGTTTGTGATTGTTTGTTTTGGAAGTGGAACGTGTCAAGATCTTCCTGGTGTTTGTCATCCTTTTCTACAGCAAAAAAACATCCCCAGCATATGATACTAGCCCGATCACATTGACCTCCAAAATTAGATGGTTTAGTACGACAACAATTCCCAAATTAGATGGTTAATGATTGGATTGTTAACAATGGTTGTCCATCATTAACCATTACTGTAATAATAATGGCTGGTTGTCCATCATTCACCACGGCCATTCCCAAATTAGATGGTTTCATTTGACCACAAAAAATTCTTGGATCTGCTGAAAAAAAACAAAAAAAAAAACACGGCCATGTGCAGCAAATCCAGATTCTACGCCATTTTCGTTTTGTCCCGAAATACACATTTTTCGGTCATGCTTTGCCCTACTTTTTGATGACCATAAATTGGGAGAAGAAAAAAAAAGTTCAGACATCCCATTTTCAATATCCCCCTGAAATGCCTCATGATATCCCAAGTATTGTTACAATGTGGTGCCCCCCAGTGATGTTTGTTGGTTTATAAACCCCGTTAACTAGTTCGTTATATCTACCATAAACCACAGTTATTGGACTTATTGACCAACTTAGCTATCTAGGGGCCCCACTTTGTAGTATAAAATACTGCCTTTGTATGGTAACTACCAGCTTTTGAGACACCAATAGTGACTTTTGTTCATATTGTGGTCCTCAGAGGGGTGAAAAAAACTAATCAGCATCCAACATTACAGTTATGTGCGTACTCTATCCCATGGATATTTCCCATGGAAATCCCTATTTTTGGATAATCTCCCATCAGATCCCATGAAATCCATGATGAATCACGAGAAAAAAACATGTTTTCTCCCATTCATCCATCGGTTTCTTCCCATAAACCCATCATTTTCCGATCGCCACAACAGATCCGTCCCAGTCGCCACTGCTTGTCGCGCAGCCGTGGCGTCGCTTTCACAGAGATGGAGCATGGCTGGAGACCGCAAGGCCGCTAAAGCGGCCATGGAAAGTCCCCCAGGTTTGATGGGTAACGCCATAAGCTCTCAGGGATGATCGAAAATTACTATCTAGTTTCAAGCCATAATGAATGATGAATATATGATATCATTATCTATATGAATGTGTATATATATACATATATATATATGGGCCATAGCTCTAACCATGAAAATTACTATCTAGTTTAGCTAGTGACTCTATCTACCCCACGAAGTTCGGTCGGTGCTTAAAATTGTTTTCTGTTGGGGATCACAGGAATGTAGTTTGTGTAACTACCCAACAGAAGTTGGATAACAACAAACTAGGTTAGTTGAAGTAACTAGCTGAATTCTATGGTTTATGGTGTACTGTATGTCTATATATATATATAGAGTATTATATAGTTAGATGTGCTTATCAACCAACAAATGTAAGTCTTAAAGTGGGTCGAAAAAATCGTGGGCTTGTTGGAAGGTGCAGTCCCATGTTTGACCATTTGACCCTGCTAGAAAGACCTGGCTTCCAAAACCTGGATTTAGACTAATAATATAGTAATATATAGTAATTATAGTTCTTTCTGATCGAAGCTTGAAACTGTTGAGAAAATTTAGCTTCCGGTTGAAACAGTAGTTAGTATACATCAACAACGAATGCCGTTTTTCATCGAGGTGTTTGTCCGGTGGTTTTCATCCCTAAAAGCCAACGCTGCCATGAGCCAGTTTGGCAAGAGCTTCGCAAACATTTTCTGGGGAAACGTGGTGAAACCGTCAAAAAACACAAAATCCTCGGAAAAACAACATGTGAAACTGCGAAGCGGGCTGCACACCTTTTTCAAGCCAAGAGGGCCTCGGATATATCCACATGTTATTCATGTGTACATGACTGAACTATGGCACACTCATCTCGATTTGTGCTAGTGTCATCCTTGTGCAGGGGAATGCAAATCTTACGCACTCCTCCTTGGAATAGTGAGCGTTCGATCACTTTTCCACCTTTGTATCTCTTTCCAGCAAATTGTCAGCCATTGTTGCTGACAAAGCACTTCCAGAGTAAAGAAAATTTTCCACTGCTTCAAACTGGGTATAGGTCTGCGATTCTTTGGTATCGGTTCTGTGCATTGATTCGGTTGGCTCTTTGTGCATTGGTGCTCAGCTCTATGAAAACTTCATGGATCCTTGCTTTGCATCGCGCAACCAAGATTTCAGTGATTCCATCTCTCACCATCTGTAGGAACTCCAGGATAAGGTTCTGGATTGCACTTGCATCCCAGAAATATCCGTTTTCCAAACAAATTTCATGTTCATCTTTCAAAAGATCCACCATCTCTGAAACTGTTTGTGGCACACCTGGTCGTCCAGCTGTTGGTGAAGCTGTACCAGGGTCGATTTCCATGTCTTGGTCTGACATTGCGCTTTCTGATTCTTCTGCATTTGCAATTGCTTCATCTGTAGTATCTGCAGGTCCAATTGGATTTCCTCTTTGCCTGACTAACCTCATATTCCACTGATCCCATTGTTCTGGAGGCTACAAGGTTGGCACGTTCCAGTGTCACTAGATGTGTCCATTGCTGGTGGCTTAAACCAAGCCCGTTCCTCAAATAACCGCCGCTCTCAACAATGTAATAATGGAGTCCAGAGGCATAGTCGTGGGTCATGCTGACTTCGTTGCTGACCTGCTGAATTTCTTCATGTAACTCTCTTCGATTTCTCTCAGCAAGTCCTTCAGCAAATTCCACCCTCTGATCCAAACCAGTGATACGTTGTTCGAGTCTTCCCGAAAAAGCATCTTCTTCAGCAGCTTGTCTCCAGCAATCTTCCATTTCCTTTGAGAGCTTCTTGAACGTGCGAAAAACCATCAGCGCAAAGATGATCCAAAGTAAGACCATGCAAATAACAACGACCCATAGCCAAAACGTTTCACTGGAGTCACTGGCATGTTGTGCTGCCAGTTCACATGTCTCACCAAGCTCAGCGGATTCGCTGATTTTTGTTGCTTCGGCTCCAGTCAAACTTACTGACTCAAGGCCCAAAAGTGCACTCATCCGCAAGATTGCTTTGGAAATCCTTTTGAGGTTTTGTTGAGAAAACATCCTTTCTGAAACGGCTTCGAACTCCTCCTGTCCCACCATACGCAAGGAGGTAGGGTCGATGGCACCTATCTGGTTGAGCAGCATGAGCATTCTGGTTCTGTTCAAAGGTTTTGTACCTATGTCTGAGTAGTTCCATTCCGTTGGCACTTGTCCCACCGAAATTTCCTTTTCCAAAACAAGACCTTGAACCCAAAGAAGTTTGCCGCTCAAGTGCCTGATACGGCCAACACCTTGTCGGCATACCAATTGCCGAGCCGCACTGTTGTCTGTCCATTGCACCTGCTCCACTGGTTCATTTACCAAAAACTGAAGGCAACGTCGCAGGTAAATTCCATCAGAGCAACCTGAAACCATGCTGTGGAGTTCACTTTCTGCAGACTAAGGGACACTACTCGCTGGGTGCGAGCTGAGGCATGTGCAAAACTTCCATTGATGAAGTGAATGGCGCTGCTTGTGCTTTTACGGTGCTTCTTGTTGGCGCTCCAGTCAGCATCTGTAAAAGATTCGAGCATCCAAAATCTTTCACCTCCTGTTTTCCACTTTCCCTCTCCATGGCGTGGCACCTGTAGTTTGATGCCCATATCTCCATTGCTTCTCAAGTAACCAACCAGTTTTCGCAAACGTTGGAGGGAACAAAGTGTAGGCGCTGACATGGTGGCCGCCAGTTCTTTCACTGTAAACATTATGTCTACACGTTCACGTGCAGCATAAAGCAACAAACCAATCACACTTCTGTAAGCTTTGCTGTCACTCAAGCTCAAAGGTTGGGAGTGGTCTTCATTTTGAATACCAGCATCGCAAGGCACCTTTTGTCCCCTGGCTGAACCAAAGTGCTTCTCAAAGCATGAAACAACTTTCTCCACTGTGGTGCCCGGGACAATCATCAAACCATCTTCAAGTTTCACCAAACGTCTTTTCAAGAATGAGATGGAAGACCCATTCTCTTTCAACTCACTGTGGCTCACCTTGAAACGCTCGGTCATTGCAGGAAGGAATTTGTTGTTCCAAAAGTCACTGCTTCCAGCAAAAAGCAAATCATCCACGTGAATCATGAAGACATTGTGAATACCTTCGTAGGTGCACCTTGCTAAACATGGTTGTTCACTGCACCACTCGCACTCAAAGCATTTGGCAACGTAGTTGCGAAAGTACCAGTACCATGCCTTTGCTCCCAAACGCTGACCTGGCAAGTTTCTTTTGATTACCAGTTCTTTTCCATGTAAAGAAACACCAACGATCTCCTCCTGAGGAACTTGGAGGAAGGCATCTTTGATGTCCAGCGACGCCAAAGTGACATCATAGTCTGAACTGCCTGAGCCACTTTCCAAACTTTCTGACATCATCTTCAGAAAAACCAAAGGCACTAAGTTGGCTGTGTGGCTGCCACTTGCTGGTGAGTATGTGTCATGGCGTTTCACATTTGCAAACTCTCGGGCCACGAAACGGCTCCGACGCATCCACATCTGCTGTCCATTTCTGTGTTGCTTAACTCTCCAGTCGTAGACAAATCTGGTGGTAAGGCTTCCACAAACCTCATCAGTGCATTCTTCACGCTTTTGTAAAACTCCCATCTCAAGCAACCTTTGTATTTCGATTTCATCTGCCAGTTGATCAACCCAAGGTTCAGGGTTTGGAGGAGGCTTGTCCAACGGGAGGTTTGACCACAGTGCATCCGGAACTTCACCCAATTGCACTTGATCTTCGTCGCACCAGTATTCATCTTCCAACACATCAGTATTCATGTCCAGTTCTGTGGAGTAGTCATCCATCGTTGCAAATTCATCTGTTCCCACTTTCACAACACGTATCATGGCTTCATGCTGTTGCATCAACTGGTTAATCTTTTGCTTCTTGTGGTCTGCTACTCTGGCTTTCTTGGTTTCATGGTCTGCATCGTCCTGGCTGTCATGCATCCTAGTGGAGTGAGCAAGGCGTGGAGTTGAAGGAGATTGCATGGGACCAACTGGAGGGGTCACAGGCGCAGCTTCTCCACCATCAAAAGTCAAATCCACTTGGTTTTCCATTTCCGTAAGAAAAGAAGCATCTACTGCATCATCATCAAACACTGAATCCACGACAACTTCATCTTCACGTCTACGCATTGGCTCAGCAGAAGAAGGACCTTCAGGAATGTCCAAGGCTACAGGTTGGCTCAGCCTTGGTACTGCAGGTTCATGGGCTACTGCTTTGTCACGAGGGTCAAAGGTTTTGTCCTCATGGCCCATGGAAACCATTTCACGTTCTTCCAACTTTTCTTCTGTAGCTTTGTTCTTAACGGCTTCAGCTTCTGCATCATGAAAAGAAGAAGGCAGGACATCTCCCTGTGGCGCTTGGAAACTTGCAGAAATACCTTCAACAGCTCTCTTTGTTGGCACAACTCTGCCACCAAAACCAGTCTTGAACTTCCATGTTGGTGCATTGAAGTGAAGGTAAAATCCTAAGTGGTTCTTCCAGTCCGTTGAAACTCTGCGCACTGAGCGTGTGAGCATGACTGCAGCTCCGGTGAAAACCACGTATGTATCTTGTGATTCTGTTTTCCCCAAGACAATCACACGCTGCCACTTTGGATTCCCTTTCAGTGCTGTATGGGTGTATGCAAACGCTGGCTCTGCAAACTCTGTCATACGGCCTTTGTAGACCTTTTGGTAAACAAGCTCGAACGGGGTGCTACCGTTCACCACTGCAAACCTGTTCAACAACCAACTTGCATGTCTGAGGGCCCAGCTCCATAAACCATGGTTTGTATTCAACTTCATCGACAACTTTTCTTGGACATGGTGCATGAGGGTTCCTGCAAGTCCTCTGACACGACCTACAGTGTTTTCACACAAGCTGTTCCCATGTGTATATGCAGCTGGCGTCTTGTCATGTGTGACAAATCCCATGGATTTGCGCGCTCTCACA